AGTGAAGCATGACATGTACTTTACAAATGCAGTTTCTTTTTCTGCTTAAATAACATCTATAGTCAAGTCATATTTTCATTTAACACCTAAATCCCTCAAATTGATTGGAAGTTTTATGGGATTTTTTTTTAAGACTTTGCTTTTATATGACTAAGCAGCTATAAAACTAGATTAAAAAATCAGCATCACAAGTTAGTTGTGACTGATTGGAAACAGTACGTGACATTGGCTTCGTTCCCTGTTTGACTGGGTCTCACTCCTACAGAACTAGGGGGATTCCACAAAGTAACTGGGGGTTTGAATTCCTGGAAGAATAAAAAAGGCTTGTGGAGACTATTATGGGACAAATATATGGAAGATTTAGAGGAACAAAGTCTTTTATTTCCTGAACCTTGAGAGAAAAAAAGAGTCAATATCAGATTATAATGTTTATGACGGGAGCATTTAATATTGGTATAACCACTTATAACTGTCTTATTCTAAGAAAGAGGGTTGATCAATGAGTCTTAGAGTACCTATGAAGAAAAATTATAAAATAGAGTTTTTTAATTAATATATCTGACTAAATTTTTGCAGTCAATGAGTTTGGATGTGTTTAATGCATAGATTAGCCTACTTCTTGTGGTCAGAGGGTTAGTATGATGAAGAAACCGAATCAGTTATTTTTTCAGATAATTTGTATCATATTCTTAACGATGAAAAGGTGAGCCTTAAACTAGCAGATGCGAACAGATGTCACTGGAAATAATTTTTAAAACTCCAAAGTATGGAAATATTTTATTTTTCAAAATGAGTATGACATTAAAAAAAATACTGCTTTCCTATTAAGTATTTTCTTATCCAACAGAAAATTTACTCTGTTTTGAGGGTTATGTTTATCACAAATGATCTAGCAGAAAAGCAAACAGCTCGTGATTGTGGAAACTCTCCCCCTCTTTTTTGGCCAGGAAAAGTTAAGTCATTCAGTAAATTCTCATCTTTTGTAATGAAAGCATGATCTTGGTTTCAATAGTGAGCAAGGTGTCAAAGTTGGTTTCTTTAAGAAATAAAACACAATCTCTTCTTTGTGACGGTGTCCCTATAGTTGTATTTTTAGTCTACTGAGTGTGGTGGGGAGGATTATTGGGGTTTTAAAATTGTTGTAAATTCCATCAACATGCATGTATCAAGTCTCATAATGTGCCTGTGAAGATATTTATTTAAAGCAACATTGTCATCTTTTTTCTTTAAAGGCAATTCTGTACCTGCATTAGAGAATATTAAATGTTGTATTTCCAAGGGCTTATTAAATATTCAGTAGTTTTCCTTTTCTGTAGTCAAGTGTGTCAAGGGCAAGCCTTCTAAGTCCTGGAATGAAACTCAAATAAACTAACCGAACCTTAAAAGCTGCTATTGAATACTCATGTTAGAAAATATACATTACACAGCGAGGGGAGTCGAAGGAGGAGGTGTTGAGATCCAACTCCAGAACAAGTTGTACGCAGACAGGATACAGACTCTGGGAAAATGCTGAGAGATTTTTTTCAAAACTTAACTACAAAATAAGAAGTAAGGGCAACTGCGATTACCAACAATTAACTGTGCATTAACCTCTTCACTGCCTATGACCTATCCATCTTGGAATACTAAAAAATGTGTAGAAATTGCTTGTTGTAAGGGTGTGGGATGGACAGACAAAGCATATCTTGAATATGGAGCAGTATGTGTCTGATTTTATGAATGTGAATAACGCACCTGAGTGTGAGGATCAATTTCTAGCTCTGTGGATGTTTTATGTGGGCTGTGCCTAAGCTGATAAAGTTTAGAATGACTAAAGTCAGGCCCTGGCTCCATCACAAGACAACGACAAGTTGTGCAACCAGTCCCATGTCTAGGTTTGCGTTGGAAAGGAAACTTGGGCAGGTGGGTTAGATGCGAGCCACAGCATCCTCTGACCAGGCGGCTTTTCCTCCTGTGAAATCCAGACATGGTCTATGAGACTATTGTCAGGTCACTTGTGGCCACAATTTTTAAAGTGACCTTAATTTCTTCAAGACACTTTAGGAGCCTTGTGCAAGGTAAAACATGATGTTGGACGCACAGAAGTGCTGATAATCCACAGACTGCTCAATTTCCAGTTCTAGAATTGGCTGTAATTTTTGAAGTTGCTTTAAACTCTGAGCAACTCAGTTCCTCGTGGGACACTGAATTCAAAATAGGAATTATAAACTTTTCTACTTCCAACAGGTTATCTGCAGGTATCTGACACTCACTTTAGATTTATGGGCTTCATTAAAAATCAAGTTGTAGATGATTAATCCACTTAACCATGAACATTAGTAGGACTTGGAAACAGAGCTGGGCTGGTGATCCCATCAACTAGAGGAGCTGGGAGCTGGAATCTGTACCGTTGTCTGAAATGTGATGCCGACACGCATGAACAAAATCGGGTGCACACTGCCTTCAAAATGTGAGCAGAGGGAATCAGCAGCCTACTGAGAGCTTTAACTGCTTAATAAGGAATATTCTGCATGCTGTCTATTACATACTGAACATTTTTGTAACTTTTAACTGCTCTCTTCTGGCAAAAATCAACTGAACTTTTTATTAATTCAATTTGTATTAATTTTAATTTTGAAAAAGGCTGGTTTGGTGGCCCTGGAGTGTCTGTACAACCATTCTCTCACTTAGAAAAGTGTTGTCCCTGAGGGGAAAAAAAGAAAACCTAAATGAAGAATGATAATTTTATCTCACCCATTGAAATAAACAAGAAACAACTACTGTTTTAAAACCTTTAAGAAATGAGAAAAGGATGCTGATTATTTGTATCTTATTTGGAAATTTTTTCTTCAGCTTTTTTTCTCAAGAGTTTCAAGCCATGTGCTTGGGCCACAATCTTTGGCTTAAAAAAGGGGGTCGATGAAGCTGTCTTACTGTATACCAAGGCTGAATTTGTCTTGCAACTAGTCAAAACCTAAGTTTTCAGGACTTCTCACAGTGAAAGGTAGCTAATGATTCAAACAAAAAAATTGTCTCTTGCTGTGATCTTTCTGAAATGATGATCAGGCTAACTCCTTTTAGATTTGTGTGCTTCATTAAAAAAAAAAAAAAAAACAAACCAAAAAGTTGTGCTTGGTACCCCAGTTATTGTGGACATTAGCAGGACTGAGGAATAGAACTTGGTTGGTCCCGTTCACCAGAGAATATGGGAGTTTGGATCTGTACCGACTTTGTCTGAAAAACGGTGCTTGCCCACATGAACAGAAATTGATATGCTTTTAGAGGCTCATTGCCTTCAAAACGAGAGAACATGCAATTAGGATGAAGCAGAAGGAAGGCATAAAGTGAGAATAGCACATGACTTAATTTCATTTCTATCATCACAACTGTTTGTGAAAAACATGCTAGAGTCTTTTCAACACATTGCCTGGTATTATGTAATATAATACTAAGGAAATATCTTTGTTAATATAAAGTAAATCCCTAAGGATTTTTCTTTGACTGATAAAATGTTCCTTCTTGCATTGTCCGTTGCGTTTTCTTCTTGCATGTTCTCTGAACCCTCTGACTATTGCAATCACATTGTAGGTCTTCTAGTGTATGAGGTTTCACCATGCTAGGTGCTGTGCAAGCTCTGTCCAGAATGTCCTGATCCAAGGAGTTTATATTTTAAAACAAAGCACAACAAGAGACAAAAGGAATGAGTGTCTTTGCTCAAAAGCAGTCATGTATGTGCTATTGTGTGCGTGGTGAAATGTGTACATGTAGTTTTATATTGCTATGAATGGAAATTGCGGGATTACCAAGAAATCTGTCACCAGATTAATAGCTTTTTTTTGCCTTTTTCCTAACCTCTGAAAGACGATTGTCTTTCGGATAACCAAGTAGGATACTCAGCAGATTTTGGAAATGACTGAATGTCTTTTTCCTTCAGGGAAAATAAAGCACCATTGAATGTAGGTGCACAGTCAAAAATTTCAATCTGCTTTGCCACGTGCAGACTTCCAGCTGCACTGTAGCCTTTCACAGTGTCAACGTTGAGCAAAACAGTAATACATAGCTTGTCAGGCAGTTCTACCTGTAGTTAATCCCTTGGAATTTGGCATTATTTTAGAAAGGATCTGAAGCAGAATGGACTCTTTCTGAAATACAGCCCAGAAACAGGTGGTAATTATTTGCATACTGTTAGATTCAGTGCCCTGTTGAACTCACAGTTCATCCTTATTGTATCTGAGTTGTTGGTAATTTTTAGTTTGGCTAGGTTGAGTGTAATTTTCTGTTCTTTTCAGACCAAAAAATGTTCGCCGTTGTCTAAAACCGCCAAAGTGTTGCTGTTAAAGAGGTTACCCAATATTTTATCTGTTAAAAGTTCCCACCCAGGTTGAAAACTATAGTGCTGACTTAACGTCAGTGATCCTCAACCTCCACAAATTTGTTTGCTTTTTCCCACCTTCACTGTGTAGAAAGATGCTGCAGGATGCTCTAGATGCCTCCCAAGGGTCATTCTTAGCCCACCGGTGGCTTAGAGTTTGATAAATTCTCTATCCATGTTGTAGAGGGGTTTTGCAATGATCTGCTAAGATTAATTCACTTAGGATATATAAATCTGGTTGTATTTGCTGACTCTAGTTCTCTCACACAAGACTGAGGCTTTTTTTTATGTACATTGGTGTCAGGTGCCAGGAAAAAATGAGCTATGAATGTGCAGCAATTTTGTAGTTGTGCTGGTTTAGGCTGGGATAGAGTTATTCTTCATAGTAGTTGGTATGGGGCTATGTCTTGGATTTATGCTGAAAACAGTGTTGATAACACAGGGATGTTTTTGTTACTGGTGAGCAGGGCTTACACAAGGTCAAGGCCTTTTCTTCTCCTCACCCCACCCCACCAGCGAGGAGGCTGGGGGTGCACAAGAAGCTGGGAGGGGGCACAGCCAGGACAGCTGACCCCAACTGACCAAAGGGCTATTCCAGACCACATGACGTCATGCTCAGCTCATAAAGCTGGGGTAGAAGAAGGAAGAGGAGGGCGCTGAGAGTAATGGCGTCTGTCTTCCCCAGTAACCGTTACCCATGACGGAGCCCTGCTTTCCTGGAGATGGCTGAACACCTGCCTGCCGATGGAAAGCAAGAAATAAATTCCTTGTTTTGCTTTGCTTGTGTACACGGCTTTTGCATTACCTATTAAACTGCCTTTATCTCAACCCATGAGTTTTCTCACTCTTACCCTTCTGATTCTCTCCCCCATCCCACCGGGATGGGGAGTGAGCGAGCGGCTGGGTGGTGCTGAGTTGCTGGCTGGGGTTAAGCCATGACACTAGTTAAGACAAAGGCAGAAAAGTCTGTTTGGTAAAAATCAGCCAGACAGGGTAAGATTTTTTGCTTAGGCTCGTGACTAGAAGTTCAGACTGGATTATAAGTGTTCAGTTCAGTCCCTGAGTCAGTCCTTTTGGAAAGATAACAGATTTAGAGCATTTGTAATTGAGGGGCTTGGTGTAATAACTGTTTAATTGATTGAGGAAAGGAAGCTATAAACAAGCTACAAATCTCTAATAGAGGTAGAAACATGGGGTTTTTTTGAGAGATAGATATATATTGTGAGCCTGAATATAATAAATTTGCCAGGCCTTCATTTAAACTTGTTTCTCAGAATAAAAGCAATTCTCTCTACTGGTTGTAGAGACATTTTGTTTTCTAACTAATGTTCTGTGTTAGAAAAATGCAACCATTCAATATTCTACCAGCCCAAATGAACTCCTGTGGCACATAATACTAAATCTGAATGCTAATACTAAATTCAGTGATTGATACCCAAAGTATGCAAGATCAGTTTTGCCGCAGTGTTGCAGCCTGGATTAAAGTGACATAACAGAGGCATTCTTGCTTATGGCTGCTGTTCTGTCTCCGTTATAACCACAATTTTTTCAATGAGATTCAAGATTTTGGTGTGGGAACATACCAGCATCCTGCTGCCACATTTTCTCTTGCCTGTACGATGGGAACCCGGACTGTAAGCTGCCCTTTCCAGTCGGGTGATGGTAGAGAATATGATATTTTTTCTACTTGTTGAACTTCTTTAAGGTACTCAGTTTCAGATTGGGAATTAACAGATTAAAAGTGTGATATCCTGAGTGATTTGTAAGTAGTATTAAGGGAAACATAAAATACATTATTTATTTACTAAAATAAATAATATTAAAAATTATGAAGAGCCTGCCTTAAGCTCTGAGTTCCCTATCACATATTTTTGTTTTAATAGCAAGTCACAGTTTAAAATTATAGGAATCCAAAGCCAAAAGTAATTTGCTGCCATTTTGAAAGAAATGTGTTTCTTGATATTATTAAAATTTCAAGCTGCTAGATATGTGAGGTAGCACATAGGCACTAGATATTTTCCAAAACCTGTTTATGCATTTTTTTGTCTCTTTGGGCCCCTAACGCTGCCTAAAATATTCCAAGTCTTTAGGGAGTTTTTTTCCAGGATAATACTGGCTATAAAAAAGTCTATTAAGCTGAAAATCCAGAATAACAAACAGATTGATAACATGTTATCAATCCTGGCTCGGGGAGGGATTTAAACACATCATGTATTCATGTGCCACACCATTGCTGTTGGAGTGCTAACACGGTGGTAATGTATTGTCACTTAAAAGAAGTTAACCATTGTAGCAACTGCCCTCAAAACGCCTTTTAATTTGGTGCATTTTACTGGGTGTTAGAAAGTTTATGTCCCCCTCTAGCTGTTTGGCTCAGTGTTAATTTTTATGAATCCTGTCCTCGGTGTTCTGTTTTATTCAAGGCTTAACTGTGATGGCTGGGTTGAAGATCAGGCAATAAATATTTTGTAAGTCCTTAACAAGCCTCTGCAAGGGCTGTCTCTGCGTTATGTAACTGTATTTTATCTATTCATGTGCCTCTACTAGAACTGAATTTGTATTTCCCTATTTGTTCAGATTGTCCTGGTTTTGTGACTCTGATAGCAGGATTGTGGATCCTAACACGCTGGCAAAGCGCTGCCTCTCTCAGTGAGAGAGGTTCTGCTAAGTTTACTCTTAGTCCTGCCTAAGAGTATGAATGATGGATGACTGCTAACATAACAAGCTGTTCAACCAACTCTACCTGTAACACAGAAGGCATTTGCTATCAGTAAATATCCTGTGTTTGTGAATCGTTGAAAATCCAAAGGAAACCTGGTGCTTGGATCTGTTCCTAGGACCCTCTGAGGTGCCCTTCAGGCCAGGTGTGAATTCTTGAACCATAATCTCAAAACCATTGGGACCGGCCCCGTTTTCCACTATGTGAGAGGTGGACAGCCTCAAATCTTGCTGTGGTTGGTGTGTATGGGGGCTGTTTGTAAGGCACCTTGACAATGGAATGGACTTCAGATGATTTAACAAGGATTAAAGAATTGTTGCAACTTTCTGAGTGAGTTGCAGCCTGTCATGGTGTCCATCACCAAGACTTCTCCTGCTGCCAGACTCCTGGCCTACGTGTGGGAGCTGTCTGCTGCTCTCCTCTGGCCTAGATGCAAAGTTTTATGCATATGGATTTGTGAATCATTTGGGATGAATCAGTAAAAGATTTATAATGATCGCTGACATTGTTAGTATTAACGTGAAGAGATGTGTGGTTCTGATGTCTCTCTTCCTTCTTTCTGTTCCAGTTCATCGCCTTTGCCTCTTTATTCTTCATCCTAGTTTCTATCACAACCTTTTGCCTGGAGACGCATGAGGCTTTCAATACTATTATAAACAAAACTGAGCAGGTCGTCAATGGGACAGAAGCTGTGCTACAGTATGAAATTGAGACAGATCCTGCCCTGACGTATGTGGAAGGCGTCTGTGTGGTATGGTTTACATTTGAATTTTTAGTACGCGTTATTTTTTCCCCCAACAAACTTGAATTCATCAAAAACCTCTTGAATATCATTGACTTTGTGGCCATCCTGCCCTTTTACCTAGAAGTGGGCCTGAGCGGGCTCTCCTCCAAAGCTGCTAAGGACGTGCTTGGTTTCCTCAGGGTGGTAAGGTTCGTGAGGATCCTGCGAATCTTCAAGCTCACGCGGCACTTTGTCGGCCTCAGGGTGCTGGGCCACACTCTGCGAGCCAGCACCAACGAATTTTTGTTGCTGATCATATTCCTGGCACTGGGTGTTTTGATATTTGCCACCATGATCTACTACGCAGAACGGGTGGGAGCCCAGCCTAATGACCCATCAGCGAGTGAGCACACACAGTTCAAAAATATCCCTATTGGCTTCTGGTGGGCTGTAGTCACCATGACCACCCTGGGTTATGGGGATATGTATCCACGGACTTGGTCAGGCATGCTGGTGGGAGCCCTCTGTGCACTGGCAGGTGTGCTCACCATAGCCATGCCCGTGCCTGTGATAGTCAACAATTTTGGGATGTACTACTCCCTGGCCATGGCAAAGCAGAAACTGCCAAGGAAGCGGAAGAAGCACATCCCTCCTGCTCCTCAAGCCAGCTCGCCCACCTTCTGCAAGACAGACTTGAACATGGCCTGCAATAGCACACAGGGTGACATCTGCCTGGGCAAGGACAACCAGCTGATGGAGCACAACAGATCATCAGGTAGGACCCCACTGGAAATGCATGTCCTTTGAAAACACTTTATAGACCAGTATGTTTGGTAGGGGTCAGAAAGCGGCCAGTCTTTCTGCCATGAGAAGACATAGCTCCCATCCTTCTCCCCTCCAGTGTTTGCGTGTGTCAGTCTCATAGAGGACGAAATAGGTATAGCGGTGTTCCCAAACCTCTATGTAGCTGGTCTATACAGTTTTGCTTGCTCTTAAATCAACCTTTTCTTTTGCCTGTTGTTTGTTGCGTCGTATGGATGTTTCTTGTTTTTCTGCATGACTGTGACTATTTGAGCAGCCACCGTGTCCCACCCTGTTGGACTCCATGGTGTTTTGCCTCAGTGTCTGTCTCTTGTGTCAGCTTTGCCTGTGCCACATCGTGGCCTGTTAAGCAAGATCCTACAAAGAAGCAGTCATTTAAAAGGAGCAGGTGCTTTACATCCAAAGCCCAGCACTCAAAGGAAATAAGAATAAATTCTCTTTCTAGCTTTCTTTCCATTTGGCATTCTGCTTCCCTGGCTAGAAGAACCCCCTTCGTCTGTGTTAGATGAGACATTGCATGATATTTACTATTAATTGAATGATAATAGCATAGCTGATGTAAAGTTTGTCAAGAAAAATGAAAATGACAGCCCCTAGCAACATCATTGTTATTAGTGTTGATTTTTATGATTTATATTACCTTCTTTGTTAGAGTTCCAAATGGTGGATAAGGAGTATTTTGTACTAATCGCTGTGAAAATGCATATCAAATGACAGCCTCTGACCCTCCAAGCCACTGCCCCATATTCCATCTCTTCAAATTAAAAAGTAAATTTTATCTCTCCGTATAATTAAATTTTTAGCAGCAAGAATTTTTTTGTTTGTTTCTTGAATGTATTTATTCTTGAGCCAAGCACAATCTGATTACAAAACTCACATACCAGTCATTAGACTCCCGTTGGAAAGCTGCTAGAGGATAATAAGAGCAAAACCACTCATGACTGGTGTCATTCAGTAATTGAAATTTATTTTTTAAAAAGAGTCTGGAAAATCGGTCTCTGAACAATATCTGTCTTTGGTCCATTGCTCTGTTACTGAAAAGCATTTATGTTCAAAGAAGCTCGGTTTCAGTCTCCGAGCAAGTGTTCACACACAAAGTTAACACAGCTTTTTGAACATCCTAAATATATTTAAGAGGATGGAAGCCCTTAAAAGGACTCACACAGAGGGTGGAATATAGTTAGTTTTACAGTGCTTTGACTGATAGCCACTTTCAGACAACATCTTTAAAGTGTAAATCATAACAGCTTTTTCATGCCATCAGGTCCTGCTAAAGGTATGCCAGAATGGAGGAGGCTCAGTGTGATCAGAGCAAAGAGACACTTTTCTGTGTCTGCAGCTTTATCTACAAGGCGCTATAATCCTTGAAGTATAGAGAGAAAGCAGCTGTGCAAAAAGGAGCCATTTTAAAGTGTTAACTTTCTCTTCAGTAGTGCTACTGCTCACGTCGTGCACCGTAGCTTTATTTCTGGCAGAGAATGCTATTAGAGTCACTAGGAATTCTGTGCAAAACTTCAAGGCTGAATACAGCCCTTTGCATTACCAGTTCAGAAAAACACATGCTCAGGTTTAAATGCAAAGGTAAAGCTGAAGCCAGTAACGTGCCATTACCTGTTACGTGCTGTACTGAGCAGAGATTTTCTTCTTGAAGTGTGGCCTGAATCTGAAATAGTAGATAATTTTAAAAGAGAGTCCTTTGGGAGTGCCAAATCAGGAGAGGTAAGAGTTTCGCTGTTTGACAAAAAAAACTGCAGAGACCAAAGACAGCATAAATGTTGGGTACTTATGATGACAAGCAGTGCAAGTATGAGAAGTATAGAAATGAAAGCTAAGCGTGTTATTAAACAGGTTTTAGTGCCAAATATTGAAAATTTAACCCTTCTGGGGGAGGGGTTGTCTTTAAAATATGCTAACCAACATATTCTAAGCAAAAAAATTACTAACATGACCTCTTGCTGAGCAAAAAGGACAGCCAAAATAGTAGATACTTGTTTGAAATATCCAAGGCTGACTGTACCCCAAAAAGTTACAGTCCGTAAAGGGCAACTAACTGAGCCTTGGTTTGGTTATTTCTTATTTCGTGTTAGTTTAGTATAACTTCATATGAGATTTAAAAGGAGAACAGGAAAGTCAAAAGATCATTTGTTCTTGAGTAAAAAATATACTTTTTGCCATTTTGTACTGATTAATAATGGTGAATTGCAATCTTGTTTTCTTCTAATGATTTACCTTATAATTATTTTTTGAGTGATGGGAATATCCGGCATTCAGCGTAAGCTCTTTGTGATGTCTCATTTCCTCATTCATTATTGTCTGTAAATGGGCATGGTGCTTTAACCAGTGTTATCAGGTGAAGACAGTGCAGGAAGTGAGCAGCCACTCTCACCTGGTGAAAGGCTCCCTCCCATCAGACGCTCTAGCACAAGAGACAAAAACAGAAGAGGGGGAACATGTTTCCTACTGACGACAGGTGATTACACGTGTGCTACTGATGGAGGGATCAGGAAAGGTATGGACTTCTTTCATTAGATCATAAAAGGTTACTCAGCAATGTGCTTGTGAAAAGCAATCTTAGAGTAAAATGATGTGCACAATGCTCTTAGAGGAAAGACTGTACTCACAATGTATCTTTTTTCTTTATTCCTAGTCATTCTTTTCCTGCTTTCCTTTTAGAACCACTCATCTCCTTTAGTCTTCACAAAATGTGCTTGATGTTGGACCCTCATTTCACTCGTGTCTTCATTTGTCTGGTATCTTTAATGGAAAAGCCTGCAATTCAGACCTTGCTCATTCAACCACTCATCACTCAATACCATTTGTCATTCTAAAAGACAAATTAATTATTTAATAACTTTGGTCTGCACTTAATAACTTAGTAAAAATTTCAGCAGAATAATTTACACTTAAAAGGTTGAAATGTCAGAAGTAAGCAATGTTTTTGTTCTGAACACAACAAAGCATATCATATGAGATGCTATTGAGATTTCTTTCAAACAAAAGTTTGAGATTATAATGCCACAAAATGTTTCCTCTTTGAAATACATCACTGACACTAAAAGGTGACTGTCTACCCCAACCAGAATTCAACTACAGTAAACAATGTTTGATCTTACAAGGCGCTAAAAATGCTTTCCTAGTTATTTGGCCTCTCCAAATCTGATTACTCACTGTTCAGTAGGATTGGGTCCCCCAGGTGGAGTCTGCAAAACCTTCTGTTGTTATATGTATCACCCATCTGACTGATGGTGTGGCTATCCCATCAGGCCACAGCTGGCTGTGGCTGAAAACCTAACCTCAGAGCGTACCCCCAAAATCAGCAATGCCAGTGGTAGGCTTGCCATTTCCTTAGGTAAGAATTACTTTGGTTTCTTGGCAAATTGTATCATTTCCTGTTCCTGAGTGCTGAGGTGCAGTTGTTCACCTCAGAGTTCATCTGAGTAGTAGCCATGTGCCACTGGACAAACATTTCTGGATGAGATTTTTCTGGCTTTTTTTTTTTTTTTTTTTGACTTGCTGTGTGTACAGCAAACATAGCTGTCCCAGCCAGCCATAAACCCTAAAGGAATTCTCTTGGGTTGTTCTGCAAATACTTTTTTTACATTTCAAAAACATGAGCTCAGTAGGTTAAACCTGTGAAGGCAGAGGTGCAACCAGAGTTTGATGTGTGTGGTATTTGTAAAGAGTAGGATTGTCTCTATGCTCCTGCGTTTTACATATTCCTATATATAATGTTTAGATTAAATGGGACTTTGTTGCAAACATGTTTTTGCACAGATTTAGGATGCTTTGCACTGAGCATGTATCTTGTACTGTCTTCTTAACAAGTACCATTATTTACAATGTCTCTAATGGTAAGAGTCCAGTCTTTGAGGAGGTCAGGAACACCTGAGTAAGGCAGACTGCCATGGCGTCTTGCAAGATAAGGTTCTTGACTTCTTTTAGGAATGGTAGTATAAACATTTGAGTGCTGCTTACTTTGCAGTAACCATAATTAGAACAGATCAGAAATAATAAAAGAAGTTACCCATCAGCTACTAAAGAAATATTCATATAACAATAAACCTTTTTTTTTTTAATACTAGGACCACATGAACATTTTCATTTAAAAATCTAGATTCAAGAGAAAATAATTTCATAGTTTTCCCTAGAAAAATGGAGCTTGAGTTCAGAACTGACAGTTTCTCAATGAGAAATGTGCTCTTTGACTGGCTCTGATGATAACCTTAGTCTAGGCTGAAATGGTTTAGCCCCTGACCTTCAAGTTTATTTTATACAGAGTAGGTAAGTTAGCTCATAAGCAGAAAACATCTTCAAGTAGCATCCAAATGGTTTTGAATACTTGAATTTAATTCACACATCAAGTCTACTACTTTCTCATTTTATTTTTTTCCCTTTCTTTTGGTACATCCTTCTTGTTTGGTTGGTTCCTTGGTTGGCTCTTGGTTGTGTTCAATGATCATTAATTCTGAGCTTTTTTGCATTAACACCTTATCTCCATCTCTAAGATGATACTGATTCAGAACTGATCCAAACACCACTAAAATACCTGCAAAGTTCCAATTTTGGATCACGCCTCTATCTCTTCATCTTGTGTATCTGGTTTTCATTTTTTAGGAGTTCCTGTTTGCTTTATCATCTTTACCATCTTCCTCTATCAGTTCTTTGCTTTTATCATTAGAAAACTAGCAGGAAAAATATTTTTAAAAATACTTTCTTAGTTTCTGTGTAAAAGAGCTACCTGATTTTATTTTTTTTTTTTGGTAAGCTTTATGTTTACAGGGGAGGTTAAATATATAAACTAGCATTGTGCTTCCCCTCAATTCCCCTTTCAAACATGATTCTTCCTAATCTGTGTAAATACTTATAGAAACTCAGAAACTGGAGGCTGTTTTTGAAATGTATCAGAAGTCTGTGAAGCATCACAGTCTAGCCTGCCCTGGCAATCTGGAGATAACATTGCACAACATTTTAGCAGACATGAGATTATAAATTTGCTTTAAGTGTAGTTTTACATTATGCAGTTCTCAGTAGGTAAGAAATATGTTAATTGTCATTAGGGGAGACCCTAAGATACGATTTTTGCTGAAGATGCAAACAACTGTCTGTTAACTGTCTGTTATCTGGAGATCTGGAATTTGAGGCAGTAACTATTTCCATAAGAAAAAAAAGTCTGGTGACGTGCCGTGTAATGTTTAGCTGCATTGTCATTGACATTTTACAGTTTCTGTGGGAAAAGTCTCTTTTTACAGTATTTCACTGTAAGCAGTTTATACCTGAATGTCTTAGCTTGACAAACACTTAGATGCATACTTGTCTTCAAGGAAATAGGTAGCGCCATTGAAATCAAGGAAATTTCTCATGCTTGCAGTGAAGCAGGTATCCGTGTATTTGAGGAGCGAGGTCCTGTCCAGCTTCGTCTTCCTTGTATTTCCTTGCTGATATCTCCAGACCAATGAGGCTGATCCTTTTCTTCCTAAGTGGGTTTATCCAGGGGCTCTTGAAAATGCTTGAGTATGAAGAGAGTGATGCAGTGAATAGCAGTGCTTTTCCGTCGTTTTACAGCATAGCCTCTACAAGGTGGAAACAATCTATATGTAGCAAAAAGTAGGTAGCTAGAGCTCACAAGTGCGTGTAAACAGAAATGTCTGCAAGTGCAATGTTCCCTCCAAATTGTGAAGCGTTACGTGGTTGCCTCATTTAATGATTAATTATTTACTACTTGCTTATGTGGATTAATGCCATTAATTTCATTTGAGTCAGCTGGAGAAGGAGCACAAATATGGTGTTTAAATTTGGCAGTCAGGAGGCATCTGCAAATATGTCAAACTCTGCTATCTTATTATACTTTAACACTAAACACAAAGTCTTAGAGTTAGTATTTCTGAAGATGGAGCTTCTTTCCCATGTCCCATTCGATCCTCTGCAGAAGCGATTTACACGTGCTGTATGCAACTTATCTGTTTTTTGTTTTATTTATTTAAGAAAAATTGTCCTTTATTAGGATCTGGGTTTAGCAGAGATTATATAGTTTGAACAGTTTTTATAGTCTGTCTCAATGGGGTTTTGCTTATGCTTAGCCAAATAGCTCACCCAGTAACCCCATTGGGATCCTTTATCCTGTGCTTTGTGCAACCCTGCTGGAAGCCAATAGCATGGCACTGAGTGCAAGAAGGGATGGGGAAGAGCAGGTCAGACCTCTTGTATGAAGGTCTGTTTATTTTTCTGGGAAATAATGGCTGCATTCATTTGTAAATAATTTTATTTATTAATATCTTTTGGTAGTAATGTGTCTCAGCATTGAGTTCCTTTGCAGGCAGATTCCCTCTGAGCCCCAAATAGCTCCTTGGATTACATTACATTGTATTGTTTGTCTTTGTCTATTTTTTTGGCTGAATTCAACTGATGTCTGTGCATTTTCTCATACAAGGCTATGAAAAATCTCGAAGCTTAAACAACATAGCTGGCTTGACAGGCAATGCTCTGCGACTGTCTCCAGTAACATCACCCTACAGCTCACCTTGTCCTCTAAGGCGCTCGCGGTCTCCCATCCCTTCCATCTTGTAAAGCAGATGGCATCAATCGGCTACATAGTATTAATTCAAATACTGTTTACCACATATTGGAAATAAATGTAGCATTAACCATAGGCTCCACAAATATGGTATAACTCCTGCATGGTATAACTGTCAGTAGTAAGAAATGCCACTTGGGTCGCTGAAGATTTTTATCTTGGCTTTTAAAGATTACCTAAGGTAGCGCTTCTCCTTTTACCTGCTATATTGTCCGACTTTCCTGTGGCAATAAAAGGACAGTTAGTGGATGCCGTTGGCCAGTATATTCAATAAACAAACATATTTTCAGGGAGATTTACTTAAAATAACGTGCTTCCAAATAATTATCAGTCACTCCATTGAACCTCCATTTCTTGTGACTCTAATTCATTCTGAAGATGTCTGGAATCGTGTCTTGGTTGCACACAGTGATGTGACTTGGGTCTGCTCATTTGCATGGACCATCCTGTCTCCATCACCTGACAAGCAGTGT